TTGTACTGAAGGTCTTGTCGTGTTTTCGGTAATTAGCCGGGCTTCCTGGACAGTTGTTGACGATACCGAGTTTTCGTGAAGCGATCAGTGCGTCGGTCGTGGTGGGCGTACTTGTGTGACTGCCTGGCAGGGGAACATAAAGTACTCTACTGTAAGCTAGATAGTCACCTGTCTCCAGGGCTTTATGACTTTCATTCAGTAAGACTACAGATAGTACACTTTCTTTGGAAGTCACAATATCAATCCTGCGTTGACAGGAAGGCATCATTTTGGCATTTACCCAAAATAGTAACACCCCTTCGACTGCAACTATATACTACTACTACTACTACTACTACTACTACTACTACTACTACTACTACTGCTGCTGCTGCTTCAACTACTACTACTACTACTACTACTTTTTTACTACTACTGCTGCTACTACAGCTACTACTATACATATGCTACTAATACAAGTACTACCACTACTGCTACTACTACAACTACTACTACTATTGTAAAAATAATACAACGCCTCATCTAAGTTATAAAATGTATAATCAGTTAATTAGTCATGTGAACTCTTAAACTATTGCTGCTGCTACTGCTACCACTAATGATACAACTATAAGAATAATAATCATCATCATCGTCGACTCTGTAGTCATCCTTGTGAACACTATCTCCCTCGTATGCATACAGTGGTTTAAACAGTTACCTACATAATTACTTCTGGGACCGTTATAGACAATAAGACACATACTACATTGTCTCCAAGATTACGGGTTGCCTCCTTGTTCATCAATAATCATCATCATCGTCGACTCTGTAGTCATCCTTGTGAACACTATCTCCCTCGTATGCATACAGTGGTTTAAACAGTTACCTACATAATTACTTCTGGGACCGTTATAGACAATAAGACACATACTACATTGTCTCCAAGATTACGGGTTGCCTCCTTGTTCATCAATAATCATCATCATCGTCGACTCTGTAGTCATCCTTGTGAACACTATCTCCCTCGTATGCATACAGTGATACGGGTTGCCTCCTTGTTCATCAATAATCATCATCATCGTCGACTCTGTAGTCATCCTTGTGAACACTATCTCCCTCGTATGTATACAGTGGTTTAAACAGTTACCTACATAATTACTTCTGGGACCGTTATAGACAATAAGACACATACTACATTGTCTCCAAGATTACGGGTTGCCTCCTTGTTCATCAATAATCATCATCATCGTCGACTCTGTAGTCATCCTTGTGAACACTATCTCCCTCGTATGCATACAGTGGTTTAAACAGTTACCTACATAATTACTTCTGGGACCGTTATAGACAATAAGACACATACTACATTGTCTCCAAGATTACGGGTTGCCTCCTTGTTCATCAATAATCATCATCATCGTCGACTCTGTAGTCATCCTTGTGAACACTATCTCCCTCGTATGCATACAGTAATTACGGGTTGCCTCCTTGTTCATCAATAATCATCATCATCGTCGACTCTGTAGTCATCCTTGTGAACACTATCTCCCTCGTATGCATACAGTGGTTTAAACAGTTACCTACATAATTACTTCTGGGACCGTTATAGACAATAAGACACATACTACATTGTCTCCAAGATTACGGGTTGCCTCCTTGTTCATCAATAATCATCATCATCGTCGACTCTGTAGTCATCCTTGTGAACACTATCTCCCTCGTATGCATACAGTGATTACGGGTTGCCTCCTTGTTCATCAATAATCATCATCATCGTCGACTCTGTAGTCATCCTTGTGAACACTATCTCCCTCGTATGCATACAGTGATTACGGGTTGCCTCCTTGTTCATCAATAATCATCATCATCGTCGACTCTGTAGTCATCCTTGTGAACACTATCTCCCTCGTATGCATACAGTGGTTTAAACAGTTACCTACATAATTACTTCTGGGACCGTTATAGACAATAAGACACATACTACATTGTCTCCAAGATTACGGGTTGCCTCCTTGTTCCAGTAGATCCAGCGTCTGCTCAGAGAGTGGAAGGTCCATGTTCGATGCCCGGCCCATACCAAACTTCCTGAGATGATGACACTTCTTGTTACTCTGTCTAGTGCTCGGCAAGAAGGGATAAGACAAGGACAGGTCAGCAGGGAGTCAGTATAATGTGTCTGAGTGGGATACACTTGTAAAACTGTGGCATGGTATCTCAGTGGGCTAGCTCTGTAAAACCGGAAGTACCCCTGACTTATTCAAGCAGTCTACATAGTACAACATTCTTGACATCATCTACCCAAGACTCCCTCGCATAGGATCTTGATAATCCGTAGAACTTCCCTGGATGCGGATTAATAGGAAGTAAGAAAGAATTGACTCATGTACTTTTAAAAGTTTTCTTTGATTGCAAAAATATTTTGCCCTTGAATTAATTTAGGTTTCCTTCACATTCATAACTATTCTTCAGAAAACCTTTTCAACAATGTCTTGTCAGACACCCCATGTTGATGTAGCTGGTGTTTCAGTGTTGGGCGTGGCACACGCCAAGTTACGATCTCAAGATGGGTTGCTGAGTGCGGTCACCTACTTGTGACCTGTGGCTTTGCATAGGACGACGAACTCTGCGCAACATGAAATATTAGAATATGTTTTTGATTAATCCAAGTCATTTTTCAGAAAACATATCATCATCTGTCTTTGTAATTTTGCAAAAGAAATATACTAAATTGTTATAGTCCTACATATAATGTACTGAAGAACTCGCGAGAATTGTCCAATTGGCATGGAAATTAGTGGCTTACTTTTCGAACCGATCCATCAGTATATTTACCAATGTTTTTAAAAAAAATGTCAATATATATGGCCTAAAATAATGCGCACTCGGCGCTCTTAGCTTCCGGCAAACTCGTGAAGCTTTGATGTGGATTCCGTTCACTGATCGTTCTGCTTCGCTGACTGTGACAGATAACTGGCCCTAATCTAACGAGAGAAGCGTTAACGGCTTTGCGAGGGATTACGTTTCTCTATGCTGTGGATTAATTGGTAGTTTTAACTTCGAAGGCATATCTATCATGCAGTTTGTAAAAACTCAGTTATATATTTTTTCATATTACCGGAGACTGTTTGGAATATGTTTGGTAAGTTATGTCAGCTGCTATCACAGTTGGGCGTCTCACTTTCAGGTGAGATCGTGGCGACGGTAGTGACAGCTTCACGCGAAAGGCGAAAAGTTTAACCACGACAGGAAATTAAGCCCCCGGTACAAGCAGTAGGTCATTCCAAGATTTTGTGGGTCATGATCCCTGCCTACCGTGAAAATTCTCATATCCGGTGTTTTCTGCAGTGCACTGTATAGGTACTGAGGAAAATTCATAGCAAACACAAGAATATGTTTTAACAAGAATACGTTTTGACAAGTTTGTTTACATCTTATAACGCTAAAAAATAAATAAAGTACAAATGCAATTAGAAAGCTATTTTATGATAGCTACATATGGTACACCAAAATGTGCAAGCAAATAAAAGTTCAGTCGTTTTGTAAGTGTAATATTTACCGTTAAACTCTATGAAATATAATACAATGACTTTTACCTGAATACTTAAGTAAGTGATAAATTGGATATGGTAATTGTTCGACCATTATTTTTCCTTGAGGGTAGGGGAGGACACTGGGGAGGGTTAAAGTTAGCTTTTATTAATTTGATTGTGAAACAGTATGGTCAATTCTAGCCCAACATTGATGAAACCAACTTATTGTTTGTTTATTATGTATTATGTAACTCGTGTGTATATAATATTTCCCTTTTCACACGCTAGAAAATACTTTCATAATTTGTAACCTAATAAACAAACATTTACTTCATTAAATAGAGAGTTAGAGATCGATGGCTTAGTTTCTCACACTGACGACAATACAGAACTTTGTTTGCTCACTTGTTTGACGTCAATACTGTGATGTAAACAGCATTATTGTCGAAATGCAATCTCCACCTTCGGCTTCAGTGGCTTGACATGTCGTTATTGTTATGTAAATATGAACTCAAGCACCTGCTGAGTGTTAATATTGGACATGTAGTGCCATGTGTGCGAGCATAGACACGTATTACATTCAGCAATTATTGGTCAGAAATGATAAAGGAATTAACCTTTATGGTATAAACTGTCCATGTACACTTGATATATAGCGTGTGAAGACTTTCTCAGGCTGCCATCCGTCCGGCAAGACCAAAACAAAGAGCAATGTTTACTATAGCATTCATGTACAAATATGGACTTTGTGAAATATTTACGTGATAATACCTCTGACGTAAGCAATTATATATATATAGGCATTTATAGATCGTACTCATGACGAAAAGCAGTTATTGTTGGTTAGTTATGAATTATATATATGTTGTCGTGGGTTCGAGAGATTTGTGAAACAACAACACTCCTTTGGGAATGGTCATGATAGAGAGATTGTATCACTATCGTGATTTCTCCGAGGGAGTTTCATGGTAATTGCTTCTGGAAGGAGAACGCTTTCTAATGCCACCCACTGGAGTCTCGCCCCCCCCTGTGATTGGTAATACTAGAGGTGGAGTTGAAGGAGCGACCGTACACACTCTAGTTATACCAGAAGCAGTAGATTAAATGCTTTTGGGGACAGTACACTTCTCTGTATGGTGTTGATAATAGCTCTAATAGTAGTAGCGATGGTAGAGGGACAGTGGTAGTTTCATTGCTGGTGGGAGTAGGGGTAGTAGCAGCGATGTGGCAGAGGGATAGCGATACTAGTAACAAAGGTGGCAGCAGCGATGGTTGGAGTAACGATGCAGGTAGAGATGGTGGTAGTAGTAACAATAATGGAAGCAGCGATGGTTGGAGTAACGATGCAGGTAGAGATGGTGGTAGTAGTAACAATAATGGAAGCAGCGATGGTGGGAGTAACGATGAAGGTAGAGATGGTGGTAGTAGTAACAATAATGGAAGCAGCGATGGTGGGAGTAAAAGGTAGAGATGGTGGTAGTAGTAACAATAATGGAAGCAGCGATGGTGGGAGTAGATGATAACGATGAAGGTAGAGATGGTGGTAGTAGTAACAATAATGGAAGCAGCGATGGTGAGAGTAACGATGAAGGTAGAGATGGTGGTAGTAGTAACAATAATGGAAGCAGGGATGGTGAGAGTAACGATGAAGGTAGAGATGGTGGTAGTAGTAACAATAATGGAAGCAGCGATGGTGGGAGTAACGATGAAGGTAGAGATGGTGGTAGTAGTAACAATAATGGAAGCAGCGATGGTGGGAGTAACGATGAAGGTAGAGATGGTGGTAGTAGTAACAATAATGGAAGCAGCGATGGTGGGAGTAACGATGCAGGTAGAGATGGTGGTAGTAGTAACAATAATGGAAGCAGCGATGGTGGGAGTAACGATGCAGGTAGAGATGGTGGTAGTAGTAACAATAATGGAAGCAGCGATGGTGGGAGTAACGATGAAGGTAGAGATGGTGGTAGTAGTAACAATAATGGAAGCAGCGATGGTGGGAGTAACGATGCAGGTAGAGATGGTGGTAGTAGTAACAATAATGGAAGCAGCGATGGTGGGAGTAACGATGAAGGTAGAGATGGTGGTAGTAGTAACAATAATGGAAGCAGCGATGGTGGGAGTAACGATGAAGGTAGAGATGGTGGTAGTAGTAACAATAATGGAAGCAGCGATGGTGGGAGTAACGATGCAGGTAGAGATGGTGGTAGTAGTAACAATAATGGAAGCAGCGATGGTGGGAGTAACGATGAAGGTAGAGATGGTGGTAGTAGTAACAATAATGGAAGCAGCGATGGTGAGAGTAACGATGAAGGTAGAGATGGTGGTAGTAGTAACAATAATGGAAGCAGCGATGGTGGGAGTAACGATGAAGGTAGAGATGGTGGTAGTAGTAACAATAATGGAAGCAGCGATGGTGGGAGTAACGATGCAGGTAGAGATGGTGGTAGTAGTAACAATAATGGAAGCAGCGATGGTGGGAGTAACGATGAAGGTAGAGATGGTGGTAGTAGTAACAATAATGGAAGCAGCGATGGTGGGAGTAACGATGAAGGTAGAGATGGTGGTAGTAGTAACAATAATGGAAGCAGCGATGGTGGGAGTAACGATGCAGGTAGAGATGGTGGTAGTAGTAACAATAATGGAAGCAGGGATGGTGAGAGTAACGATGCAGGTAGAGATGGTGGTAGTAGTAACAATAATGGAAGCAGGGATGGTGGGAGTAACGATGAAGGTAGAGATGGTGGTAGTAGTAACAATAATTGAAGCAGGGATGGTAGTGATTGTAGTAGCTATGGTCTACGATAGGAGGCTGACAGGACGAACCCTGGTATCAGTAGATGTTGAAGTTGTAGTACTAGTAACAGACGTGTAAAGAAAAGGAGCCGAGTTGTAGTTGTCAGACATCCACGGACGAGCGAAAGGAACAATACGAAATACGAGGAATGCTATCGTGCACATTAATTTGGGATTACAATTTCTTATTAAGTTACAATTTCGGTCTAGGATTCGAACCCTCACATATCACTACAACATTCCCACCATACTCTAATGACCCATTCTCAAGCACCTGTTTGCACACTTATGTATAAATACACATATGAGCAAACTTTACATACGTCTGTAAATGTGTCATGTGAAACTCGTATGTCCTGACAAATTTACATGTGGACAGGACCAGGTGCAAAGTATATTTACACATGTGCAAATTTGCACTGTGAGTAAATCGTGTCCTGACATCTTCTTTTAGGAGAAAAGTTACATATTCCGGAGGCAAAACATCACATAAAGTAGACTGCGATTGCAACTTTCATTCGTACATCCAAAGGTTGGCTAACAGCTTGGCCACTAGCTTTTAAGTTATCCTGCAGTTGTGTGCAGATAAGATCGAAAACCCCTTTGTTCATTCGAAAACTATCGTACCAGTCTTTGTCGTCATTAGTCTTTTTTCTTTCTATCTAGTGACAGACCTATTGCAAGAGCAGTACTTATCTGATACTGTGATTTTCTTCTAAAGAAAACATCTTTCGCCGTTGAAGTTCAGAGAGAAATGAGACACTTTAATGCATTTATTATTTACACTTTCAAGTTTACTCACTCTACATAAATTCAAAGTAAGGCCCTGTTCATATGCACACATTTACTCACGTGTGTATTTTTACTAAGGTGTGCAAAAATACACACGTGAGTAAAATGAGCATATGAACGCAAATGCTTACATGAGCAAATTTGCGCTGTATGCAAATTTGCACCTCGTCAGGGGGTGGTGCAAAAGTATATTTGCATATATGCATTTTTACATATGTGAGTATTTTTGTCATATGAACACATAGCAAAAATACACACGTGAGCAAATTGTACTGCTTTTCATCTTGATGTTATTTATAGTAACAGGATATTGCATCATTGGTATTTTAAGACAACTCTCTAGACATAATGTCTGGTTTCTGTCAGTTTGTCAAATTCGGCAATCATTCAGTACTTACTTGACAGTCAACATGCCGAAAAATGGCAACAATGGTCGTCGTAGTCGTGATCAGGGTTGGACAGATGATCAGACTAAAGCTTTGCTTAACTTATGGGCTGAGAGAAACATAGAAGAACAACTTGATTGTCCAAAAATCAGCAAACACGCTGTCTATGAAGAGTTAATTAGAGCTCTTAAAGACCTTGGTTTTGAGAGATCAGTTGCACAGTGCAAAATATAAATACACACTCTTAAGAGATCTTACAGACAATGCAAGACAGCTATGAAAATTAGTGGAAAGGGAAGACATTTGTGTCGACATTATGATGAACTGGACAGAATACTTGGCTCTCGTCCCATAACATCACCACTGAAGGTTGTTGAGAGTGTTCAGAGACAACAAGTTGATGACGACAGCTCCTCCGAAGATGAAGTAAACATGAGCGGTATTGCTAATTTACCTCATCAGGATATGACAGAAACAGAAGATATCTTGGAAACTGAACCAGATCAATTTCAGGATGAACCAGAAAGGCATACTAACAGATCTGAGGAGAATGTTGTCAGCCAAGCACTACATTCCAAACAAACTCGGCTGGTGAGGAGGGGTTGCGATGTGAAACATGATGGGTACAAGAAGAGAGCCCGAAAGTCACGTCTAGAGATAACTCTGTCGTCTGTCATGGACAGTTTTACATCAAGTAATGAGAAATATGGAGAGAAGCTCTTGTCTTTAGAACACCGCAAGCTTGATGTTGAAATGAAAAAGATGGAAATGGAGAAAATGAGGTTAAGAGTCAGAAGAGCGTCTTTAGAGAGAGGAGCGTGATCATCGGTACAGAATGATGAGCATTATTATGTCTCGTTTTGGAACAACACCCAATGTGGATCCACATCCAGGGACATCACAGAGTCGCCAGCAACAGTGGCAATTTTCTTACAGTCCGTCAGTCAGTGACGGCAGCAACGTTTCCTATGAGGAACCTGGGGAAACCTTATATAATCTGTGACATTCCAAAATGGATGATGTATGTACCTGTACAAGTTCACACTTACATTTCATCTGCTGACGGTTCCAACAGTTTGAACATTTATTGTACTTGCTTTCTTTTCACGTAAGGGGTGACATTTAGTTAATTATTGTTTTTAAGATATCTTTAGTGAGATATCACTTATCGTGAAAAATGTTCTTCTTAGATTGTCATAGATTATTCTACAACCAGAGTTACACTGTCACATTTCATTTGGAAGTTTATTCCATGATATGTATATAAGTGTATGTGAATTGATTTAATTTTCCAATTAAAAGATAGTCAAACTACAAAGCTTTATTCATTTCTGCAATCAAAAATAAACTACAGAGAGTGAAAACTTGTGACTGCTAATGATGACATAATAAAGACTAAACATTGAATGAATATAAGTTTAAGAAAGAGACTTCTATAACATACAGCACATGTGTGCATTAAGTCATCAATGAGATCAATGAGAAACTCAATGACCGGTAGTTGCAAGGTTGTTACAAACGGTATCTCTTATCGCCTTGGATTTGTTGTCCGATATGTCACTATTGTCACAATCTTCAAAAGCCATGTCATCAACAGGGTAACGCCATTCCTCTGGAAACTGTTCCTGTTTTAACTCACAAATATTGTGCAAGACAATGCAAGCTGCAATAACTGTTGGGGCAAATACTACATCAACATCCAATCGCTTTTTCAAACGACGCCACCTTCTTTTTAAACGTCCAAATGCACACTCAATAGTCATCCTGGCTCTGCTCAGTCGATAATTAAAGTTCTTTTGGGACTGTGACAGGTTCCCTCTGTCTGGATAAGCCTTCATGAGCCAGACCTTCAAAGGACATGCGGGGTCCCCAATAAGCACAATAGGTACCTCAGCCAACCCATTGTTGATGTTGAGAGTCTTGCTCCATTTAGGGAACAGGCATCCTGAAACTCCCCTGTGAAATAAATCAGAATTTGCAAAAAATCTGGCATCGTGCACAGTCCAGGCCACACACCGCAAATGTCTAAAAATGTAACGATAGTCATATACCGCTTGCACTATAAGGGAATACCATCCTTTCCGGTTGATGTAGTCTCCATGTGGTGCTATTATGGGAATGTGTGAACCATCGATGGCTCCTCCACAATTTGGGAATCCCCACCTTTCTTTGTAACCCTGAATTACACTTTTTATATTATCTCCAGTTGGAAATGTTATGTACACAGGTGTCAAGTGATCCGTTATTGCATTACAAACATTGTGAACACACTCAAAAAGGGTTGATTTTCCAAGACCAAAAAGGTTTGAAACCGTTCTGTACTCGGACGAGGTAGCAAGCCAATATATAACTGCTCCAACCTGATGCTTGATCTCAATAGCTTCACACACTACGTGCTGTTTCCCAAGATAAGGAGCCAGCTGCTCACAGATGAAGTTAAAAGTCTCCGCTTTCATTCTAAAATTTTCAAACCACTGTGTATCATTAAAGGAATTCAAAACGATGTTCTGTCACCAGTATCTGCTTTTTCTCGTCTATATAGGGTTCCCTCACGGCTTAGTCCAACTGTTAAGATGTAGGGAAAATATCTCAAATGTCTTCTACGTTGAGAAAGGACTGTTTCCATCCTGCTGTATAGTAGTTAAATGAAAGAATTTGCTAAGGAAATATTTTAGTACCCTGATGTGCATATGAACGCATAGTAAATATACTATTTGCTTATGTGAGCAAATATACTCATATGTATTTTTGCTTGTGTATGCAAATCTTGTGCATATGAACAGGGCCTAAGTTTACTATTAAACACGTATGTATTTTTACACATGAGCAAATTTACTTACATGAGTAAATTTTGTGCATGTGAATGGGTCTTAATAACATGGCTTTACGACAGCCTTAGCGCTAAGACCGTTTTATGCGAGGAGGCTAGAGGTAAAACCAGGAGTGTTCTGAAACCACTATTGTATGATCTGCGTGAACGGACGGGTTCCAAGTGCGACGGGATTAAGTCGGGATGGAATCCATTCGTCATCATTATCACCATGAAGATCGTCCCAACACCATTACCTTCAGCAGTAACAACAGCATTCACATCATCTGCCCCCGCATCCATCTGGAAACTACGTATAAGAACTCTATAACAGTTTCTACTTAGCATCAGTCTGCCAAATACACGCTCATTTACTCGCCTGGCAGTCATTAGGAACGCAAACGTCCGAACGCGTGTACATTAGCGACTTCACAGAGGTTACATGTAACCTTTCCAAGTTCATTACAATGGACCTATTGATCACTCAGCTGCCTCCATGTGTTCGTGACTTACGACCCCTCTCTGAGCAAGGTGTCAAGCTACTGGTCACGATGGTCACCCCGCGGTCAGACAGGGCACTCGCGACTCTACAGCTGTAATGGCATGTGAGGAAGCGCCTACTGCGTTGTTACACAGGGCTCTGTCTCATTTGTTGCGATGTATCCTCACAGATTGGTATATTGTAGTGACGTCGATGCATTGCGTGGTATGCCCCTTATGTTATTACAGGAGCACTAATTTGCTGGCTCTGTGCGATGCTCATTTCTGTATCCCCTCGTGTGGTATTGCTGACATATTGTTATAAGCCACGTAAAATCTCAATCACTCACTTGCTTGTATTGAATCCACTAGCGGTCATCTGCACAAAAGTAGCTGCAAAGTTTCACTCAGAATTGTTTAGAACAGACCATGAAGACACAATTTCAAAGTCGCATTCTTCCTAAAATTATAGCTTTTTTACATGCAAAGGTACAGTTGACAGT